AATTTAGAACAATTGTCATGAAAACTTCCATGCACTGGTGATTTTTATGTCATCAAAACACTACTTACCAACAAAAATATTAAGACTGAATTAAGACTGGCAAATGCCTAATTGATACCAAACCTGTATTCTCTAATTGTGTCCCTCTGATATTTACATATTCAGTTATCAAAAATTGCATATTTCAGTTATCTTGCACTTCACTGATGCAAAATTTCCATTATCCAAAATGCAATGAGATCACTTTATTATTTTGTTTTCTGTCTGAACTGTATTAACAAGGATAGGAGCTGGTAAGAGCAAGCGAGCTCCTTTAAAGCTCTGGAAATTTCTTTGCAGCTAAAGAAGTGGGAGAGGAAAGTTGCATCTTTCTGTACGTTTGCACGTACTAATTTAGCAAATGGGCTCCCATGTCATTCACTGACTAGTGTGGTCATCTTTCATTTCATAAATTACTATGCAGTTTTGTTCACTGTGACTATAATCTGTATTTAGTGACCGCAAGATGCTTATGCCACTTATTTCTGTTCCATCCAAGCTGACAGAAGTTATTTGATAATGCACATAGTGGTATCTTAAATTGCAAAAATGTAAATTTGAAACTTGTATAATGTTCTTGTGCTTTTGAAATAAAATATCTTGTATATGTATATTTAAAAAAAAAAAGGAAATAAAGTAACTTCTCGTAGATTATTCAGTTTTTATTTGAAGGCACTTTGGCACCTCACAGATCATTTTACAAGAGTATTATAGTGGTGTCTGTCAGTATGGAAAGGAGAAGAGCTGGTAAATGCTTGGTAAGCTCAAGTTACCTGTGTAGGTCATACCATAAGGAATGGTACCATGCTTTTTTTTCTGTAAAGATACACTCTACTTGAAAATTATGCTAGTATTTTACAGGTGCAGATTCCTGCAGTGTCTACCTAAAAGAAATCTTAGGTATAGAATTTAATATTTACATGCCCTGATGAAACTGATGTAGCAGAGTGTTTCTGGTTTTCTATCTTCTCAAAGAACTGACTGTGCTGTTTGGCAGATACTTAACCTCTAGAAAGGGAAACTCTGTGGTGTTGGTGTGCTGTATGATACATACTTTTTAAAAAGTGGTTTATTATAGACCTAAGCAAACAGTCAAGACATCTTTTACATAGGTATGGCTGGTACTTCTTGCTCTTTTTTATGTCGTAGGCTGCTGGTTGCCATCATGTCCTCACTGCTTTGTTGAAGCTTTGAGCACCATTTGGGTGTTAATGATGTTGCTCTTTATGTTTATTGTTAGTAAATTGTTTTTAAGACCTAATTCCTGAAAAGGTGAAAGGTAGAGGTAGATTGAAGTTTATTAGCAAAAATGTTCTGAATAAGATTAGAACAATTCTGTTAATTAAGGAAAAAAGAAAAGAAGCCATAGCACTATTTCTTGTGTAATAAAAATCTCAATGTAAAAAGTTGCATAGAGGAGTATTTTCGCTTTTATGTGCTTTGCATTATGGTTGAAATCTAATTCATTTTCAAGGCAATGACCTTGAATAATCTCCAATGTAAACTAGTCAGGTTCATAATACAAAATCTAAGTTGTTACTTACATTCTTCTAGCCTATTACTTGACAAGTGTTCAAAGGTATTTTATCAAAAATAGAAGTGGTTTCATTTCTGTGGTGCAATCTCTTTGTTTTTATCAGTATTTTGCAGGTAGGCTAAATTGGAAGGTTGATACAGGAAAAAATGGCTAATAATGGAAATGCACTTCTTATATGTCTCTCAAATCTAGTTATTTCTAATCCTAGCTGCTTTTCTCTGAAATTGCATTCAGTACAGTGGAAATCGTACACGAAAATGAAGTTATGTGAAGGAAATTTGCATTGAAGGAGAGCAAGCTTAAGTTCCAAGAGGTGATATAAATATGATTTTGTGTAATAGTGAGTGAGAGACCAAGTACAGAGTTAAACATGAGACATTAAAATGGGACCTGACTTTTCTTATTGCTGTCTGACTTGTTCATGAGATCAGTGTTGAAAAAAGGAGTATAGTTTGTATAAGTACAGGTTGTCAAACAAGTTACAGTGCAGCAGACTTGATTTTAGGAGGTTTCCAGGCTTCATGCTTGAGTGAATGAGCTGCACCAAAATGTCGTGAAGCACAAAGTGGGGGCTGTGGATTTCATGATCATTTGAAATCCTTGCTATATTTGTGAAGATGTGTGGTTGGTCCTTTTCAGCAGACTGCAGAACCTCACATCTCCTCCTTAATCTCGCCTGAAATGCAATATTGGCATCATTAGGTACAAGTATTGAGATGCTCATTGCAAGGTACCAGAGTTCCTGCTTGAGCTGTGCTCATTTTAACAAAATCCTAAATGTGCTTCAGGTTTGTATTTCTTACTATTTTTTTCTCTGTGATCAACATAGAGCAAGTGTTTCAAGTGGCAATCAGAAACCTTTCAAGGAAGAGCATTGTACATGCAATTTCTAAAGAAACTCTCATAGTGCCTTCACCAGAACTTCAACATTACAGTGTTTATTTTATTTTTTAAATTAAGAACTTGATAAAGAAGATAGTTTTATGTATAGGTAAGTTCCTTACTCTGGAATTTGCCATTGTTAAAAATTCTGGCTGGATTAGGCATTAATAACAAAGAGGATAAGTGTCCCCCAAATCGTATTTATTTCTGTATCTGAGCAGATGCCCTGGCTTAAAGGCTTGGCTCACTAATGCTGTCTCTGTCTTTATAAATTATGGAGAATTAAAGATGGGAGTCTGTGCTGCTACTTAAGTTTGTTCCCTTGATCCAGTGCCTCTGGTGTTAAATACTGCAGAAAACCCAAACTGTCATGACAGGTGCTGTAAAAGAAGCTGGATATGTAGGGTGTAGCACTGCCATGTTCTGAGGAAATCAATAAATACAAAGCAAAGAAGAAAGTACTTACTAAAAAAGGTAAATTTTATCCTGATACTGTGAAACAAGCTATTTTATTTTTGTAATGCATCCATATCAGTGACTGATCTGAATGCCTAGACAGGATAGAAATTAACAGTCTAATGAGTAAGTAATTGCTAGTAATAGGTCAGACAAGGACTGTTCCCTGTGAGATGTATGCTGAAATGAAGTTAGTTTCAAAACAAATCACATTTCACTGCTGCAGTTTGGGGCAATTGGCTGAGAGACAAAGGTTAATGTGTTAAATGCTAATTAGTCTTTTATGGTAAAATGTGTTTTCTTCCTATGCAAGTAAATTAGCTTCTCTGGCCTCTGTGGGGGCCAGAGAAAATTGTGTATCTGGATACAGTTGGATACTTACACCTCTGCTCTTTGTGGTAAAGTGTTACAGCACCTGCTGGATGACATTTCTTTGTCTTGACAGACATGCTGAGGCTGGACGGTCGGTTCACTCTTCCTTCCAAATCTGTTGTTTCAGAGCAGATTCTTGACAGAACAGATTCTTGATTCATTAACTAGAAACCTATCAAAAGAGTAAGCTCATGGTTCTTGTAATTCTGCAACTTTTAGTTACTGAGGTCTAGGACTGTGTTACCAAAAGTAGAATAAAATGGTGTTGAGGAAGTAACTGCTATTGACTGACACAGGTGACACTTGGCATACTCATCTGAAAGAAAATATACTTCATTTAGAGAAAAAACATAAGCAAAATCTGAGTAGTTTGCAGTGCAAACTAATGACTGTCTTTCTCCTTGATCTCTTAAGGAACTACAACTTTCTGTATTCTCTTCCAGCCTGTATCAGCTAATTATAGAGCTGCTGGTAAGTACTTCCAAAATGGCTGAAGGAATTATACACCAGTTAAGTTTTAATCCCCGCTGGGCAAAGTGATTGCAATGAAGAGAAGAAGTAGGCATACAGGTAAGAGCAGTGCAAAGGGAAGAATTAACAGAATTTCTTACAGATCTAGTTCTTTGAAGGGGTTTTAACATGCTTAAGGGTAGGCCTAGCATGTAGGCAGTGAAGTTGAAATTATGGTTGTGCACATAGCCTGCTTGAATTGCACTACAGATTATTACATTGCACAATTTATTCACGATACATCCTTATAGTATAATTTTTGCTTTTTTCTAGTGTTATAGAATACAACAGTATTTAAGTAAAGAAATTTTTGCTGTTGCTCTGCACAGTTTCAAAAGTAGGAATGGTTCTATTTCAAATATTTCAGTGCTAAAACTTCTTTTACTTGATTATTCACAAGGAATGCACTCACAGCAGTAACAAGTAAAATACTTTATTTGGTCTTTCCACCTCTGTTTTGTATCCATACTTTTTTCCTGCTGACTAGTAATGATCAGTTACAGTCCTAGGGCATGCTGTAACTACAGGTGTTTTGTGTATTGAAGGCTTTCACTCCATGCATTGACAAAGCTCCTGAGCATTGTACCAGGGGTGTGATGTGATGCTGTCAGTCTGTCTGCCTTCACTGATGTCAAATAATCCCTTACCTTCCCAGCCCTGGGTCAGTGTGGTACGTTTGAAACGAGGAGCTTTCAAACATCTAGGATCATCAGTGTTTGTTTCATAGGCAGTATCTACTTGTTTGTAAACTTGTGCTATCACATGCTACTTGGAAGTTTAAATATCCCTGCACAAGCTGGCAGTTAGTTTTCTTGAGCAGAGAACTCCTTTCAGCTGTACCTTTTGACTTTCAGGGAAGTGGGGCAACTGGCTTTCTCTAAACTATTGGAGGGGGAAAATGAAAAGATACTTCAGACGTTTTGGGAAAAACAAGTGAAATACTTGTGTGATAACTTTTATTGCCTTCACCTGAATTTCACATACTTGGTGGATTCTTGTAGGTTTTATTATACATATATTTTTGTTAAAATTTCCCCTTTACTAACTTGCACCAACAGAATCTTCATTTCAGGTTTTGTCTTTTTTGTAAAGAATCTTTAAATCCATTGTAATTTCTTTTGGGATTTCCCTGTTCTTGGGATTTTTATAGGTGTAATGACAAACTTCTTTGGTACCTGTTCAGCTAATCTGTATGCTAGTACATGTAGATCCATCCTGTCTGAAATATTTGCTTGTGCATATTGAGTATTCTGATGCATTCAGACCATGATAGAAGTCTGTTAGTAAAGGAGAGAAAGTGGGGGAAATTCCAGAAATTTCATGTAGTGTTGAGAATCAGGGATTTCACGAGTAAAAACACATCCATCCAAAGAAGTATCATTATTTTTGGAGGTATCACCAGTCTGTGGTTTGTTCAATTGTTTTACTAGTTTTTTCTACCTTTTTTTTTCCCCTGCCAGATAAAATCTGGTGACTGTAGGACTGTAATAGAGCCAAGCTACACTTGTGATGTCATTTTTTGGAAGATTTGCCTACCTAGCTGCAGGGATGGATTTTGTTGTAATATTAGTTTTGTCACAGTCTGTGTTTTGAACATTAATGTTGGGGTCATTCATGCCTGACACAGTGGAGATCTGGTTGGCTTTGCCAAGGTTCTTAATGATGCTGATGTTGTATTTGGCAGTTTCCACAAAACTGTTTTCTAGTAGCCAACCATCTGATTCACCCTCCAGATCTCCTAGCAGAAGGACATTCTTCATGGCTGTCTGTAGGTACCGGACACCAATCAGTACAGAGAGCTGTAAAAAACAGATAATGGTTAAACTGTTGAAATTGCAGCCTCAGTCCTATCACTCAGTTTTCTGACTTGTGTATTCACAGGCCTCATAACTGAGTAAAGCAGACAGACTCTTTATCTTAGCAATATATCTAATCACTTTTCCAATTAATTACATTTTTAAGAAAGATAAAAGGGAGGGATGGGTTGATTCTCTTCATTCTCCAGGTAGCTATCCCCTTTGCATGTTACTAGTACATAAATACCTAGAATTACTAGTGAACCTTCTAGCTTCAGAGACTACAATTAATTGATGTAGAATGGGTGATCAGTTAATGGAACCATCAGTGAGTGGGAAAGAAAAAATTGTAGTATGTTAATTTCAGTGGATTTTTTTTTTCCACTGACATTGATTAAATCAGTATTTTTTCCAAGGAGGTTTAATCATTCCTGTGTAAGCCATATGTGCCCTCTATGTGCCAAGGCATGAAAATTAAGGATGGCCTATAGCAGAGGCTCAAGTCTAAGTTTAGGAAAAAACCTCACTTTCATAGTTCTATTGGAATCAAGATCAACTTGTCAATATTTAAAGGATCACAGAGAGCTGGCTCACAGCTTTTCACATGCTTCAGAGGCCTGTTATTTCTGGCACCATGACCCCACATAGCACTGCCTGAGGACTGTTGTGAACTAGTTTAATTACAATGCTAACATTTATGCAATAGAGCAATAGTCAGAAAACTAAAACATACTAAAAAGGGAACAAAACTCTATTGGAGCCTGTGCCATTGGGAGGTCCTTTACTTGCAGATGACAACATCCAGAGAATTCTTTACAGACGTCAGCAGGAACACTGCAGCTTTGCAGGCGTGTAGCTTGCCTGTGATGTGCTTATTTTGGTTGCATAACCAGCAGCACAATCTACTTCTAAAAGGATGATATGCCACGATTGCAGGTACTATCTATGTGGTGAAACTATGTAATATAAAAAGGAGGTTTTGAGATATTAATACAATGCTCAATTATAAACAAAATTGATGCATTGAGCCAAAGACCTACTTATGTTTTATATATTTGTTAAAACTGACTTAAAACAACACTCAGGCCTTCTCACCAAATTGCCTTGTAGTTGTGTCACTGCATGTAGCACCCTATACCGGATCCCATAAATGCATCAGGGAAGGGAATATGCTATATTCTCTTGAAAAAGCTCTATAAATACACAGAATTATATACATTGTTTCTGATAGTTCTCATCCCCAACAAGATTTCCTTCTGCTCTGTGGACTTTAGGAAAGTTGTCCTTACTAAAGGAAATCCTTTTACTAAAGGAAAGCATTCCTGAAGAGCTTGTGGACTTCATACTGGATGCTGAGGCACTTCTCATGTGTTACACCATCATCATTTGCCATGCTAGAGAGACAGAAGATTGATTGATGTGATAGAGACCATTTTTGTGACATTTACCTCGAACAACCAAATGAGCAATGCTGCAACACCAATGGATCTCATGATACCGGTGTAGTAATCCAGCAGGGCCTCTCTGCAGCCCTTCATCCAGATATTGAGCTCCTCTGTCAGGAAATCGTAGTTGTAGTGAGCACTGTTGTTTGTCAGCTGGTACTGGATGCAGGGCCGTGGGGAGCTGGGGTTGCAGCAGCTGAAGGGGACTCCATCCACCAAGAACTTGCCATCAACGTTGCTCTTCAGACGGCTGCAACAGGACAAAGTCTGGGCGTTACAAACCTGCTGTCAGCAGCAGACAGTGCCTGTGATTTTAGAAAAGGAAGGAACACGACTCTGCTGAAATGTAGGCCTCTCCTACATAACAAAAGGAAAATGAGGGTATACTTTCAACTGGAGAAGTTGTTTACTGCAGGAAAACTGAATGCTGGATTTGTTTTATTTGTGTGATACAGCACAGTACCTCATGTCATTCTTCATTCAGTGCCACAAGACGTGAGTTCAGTGTCCAGGGAGATGTTGCCTTTTTAGGTATCTTTGTGCTGAATACTAAAGACAATTTTTGAACTTGTTTATCTTGGTGGAATTCTAATAGAAGTTATATCCCTGGAAATCCTGTGTTTCACTACTTCTGGATTGATTTTTCAACACAATCATTCCATGAGATCCTAATGCAAAAACAATTTTGTATGCCACAGGAACCACTGGAAATCATCTGCTGGCCTTTTGCCACTGTACCCATTGCAAGGGCTGGTCTAGCACATGTTTTGAGACTAATTCACAAGGGAGTTTCTACTTCTCATAACTTCACTTTCTGTAACTTTAAGAACTGTAGTTATTGGTAAAAATTATTCCTTTCCCTCCTCTATAAGATAGGAGGAAAACAAGTGGTGGAAGATGAAAGATAAAGAGGTATAGGAAAAAAAATCATAGGATGGGAAGAGAACACATTCTCAAATTAATGAAGATTTTCTGGAAGTTAAATGAATCCTTGGCATCCATTTTCTTCACTGAAAGTGATTTTCCAGAAACTGGACAGTATCTGAGGTGCTGAGAAGGACACTCACACCTTGGGGAAGCAGCCTCTAAGCATGTATCTATTTTCATGCTCAGTGGGAAAGGCTGATTTCCTGAGAGTGGTTTATTAAGTCCAGGCCCTTTATCCTTTGTAAAGGGGCCAGAATACGTGAAAGACAACTTTCACTCAGATACCCAGCTTTCACTAGATTTGGCAATAGTAAATTTACTAATACTTTCCAAAACTTCATTCATTTATTAATGTTTGCAAATAATATTTTTCAGTTCCACTACAGCTGATGTAAATGAGAGAGGGAAAGAAATCATTACAAGAGGCTCATCAGGTAAACAGAAGGAGTAGAAACACTATGGTCCAGTCTTGATCTGGAATTTGGGACTAAATGTAACCTTCAAATGAAACATAAACTGCTAGGAAGCTCAGTATTTGTGGCAGTGCTGTGATGGCAGAATTGCTTTTGTTTTATTGCTGTGAGCCTACTAAATACAACCTCCTTTTTGTTGTTGTTTTCCTTCCTCTCTGTTTTATTTGGGTTGTGTGTGTTTTGTTTTACTTAAAATTCTCTCAAAAACATTTTCCTCAAACATCTTTCCTAGTAAACCAGGAAATTCATCTGCAATTTCCCACTTAGGAGTGGGATAGGCATGAATTTTTCTCCATTTTCAAGTCTAGCTTTTCATTTTGTGGCCATCATATCCCTGGTGATTGTAACAGAATGGAATCAATGCAAAAGAGCCCAAATAATCCACTGAAAGGAGATTCAAGTGTGTGAGCTGTGTCGTGGGCAAAGGCAAAACCAGCTACTGGAAGGGAAAGGAGCCAGAGAGGCACAAACCAGAGGGCTCCAGTGTGGGAGGAGAAAAGAAAGCTCGCAGAGGAGAGGAAGACTGGCATATTGTGAAGGGGAAGATGTTACCTGGGCTGGCAAAATGCCCTCTTTCAGGGTATTATATATGTTTAATGACCACAATATAGTACAGTGTTTAAGATGGTTGAAATACAGTCTCTTAAACTGGGTCTTAAACTTTTCATTTGATCCCAAGCATCAATTTAAATACTTACTTTTGTTCTGGATATGTTATAAAGAGGAATCCTCTTTCTACTGCCAACAGTAGCAGTTTCCAGACTTGGGTTATGTCCTCCTGCCACTGTGTTTCCTCTGTTAGTGTCAAATTTAAAAATTATTTCATTTGTGTCTTGGTACTTAATAATACCTTGGTACTGTTAGAAGGGAGGCCACAGTGAAAGAGGTGGTAGAGCAAAAAATTCACTGCTATTTGCTGTTGCAATTCAAAGTTGTTATGGTATTGTAAAGCAAAAACTTGCTTTTGAGCAAAGATGATTTTTACCTGACCAAAGCAATGGTAGGATTTTACTGCTGTAACCTGCCTCATGTTCCTACCATTCCCACTGGCTGCTTCCATGCCTTGTCAAATTATGGTGCAGGCAGTAGAGCTGTAGAAGAGGGCTTTGCAAGAAGGTAAAAAGTTCAGTTTTGCAAAGGTTACATGTGAGTTCACAGTGTCAGATCTCACCTGCTTTGCCTCTTGATTTACAAACTACTAACTGACACACAGTACAAGTTGAAACCAAGAAAGACTTGATTCCTTTTCCATCCTTTCAGAACATTACCAACTGGGCTTTGCTTCTAATGATTTCATATCAAATATTTCACTACCAGATTTTTGGAAGTCATAATTTCTGTTATACGGCACCAACTTGGATTCTGCCAATCAAGATTAAATTAAGCAATCTATCAGCAGCAAAAGAAATTCAAAAGCTACTTTCCTCACTCACATTTCAATGTCACATTCTGCCTGAATGGGGCAAAAGCTAACTGACAGTGTATTCTCAAAACAGTGGCAGAGCACAGGTGAGCCTGCAGTAGAAAACACAGCTTAATTAAGACCCTGGGTAAAACATTACTGTTTCTGCCTCTCTCACAGAAATAAAAGGCAGTATATTTTACTTTTGACCTCACACTAAGCTTCTACACTTAAATTCCTAGGGACCATTGTTGTTGTCATGTCATTTTTCAGCATAGACCCATTCTTAAAACAGCTTTGGGTCAGTCTGTTCTGTGTGACACTTTCTAACTTCTCTCTTGAGGATGCTTGTATTGCTTTATTTCCACAGACAAGTGTCTTCTTATGCTGATGCCCTCTTTTTGTGTTCTCCTAGGTCCTGCCCTCTAGTATATTTGCAGCTCTCTATATATGGTTTGCTATGATGGTAGTTTCAAATTGTGAATTCTGTAAAATTAAGACCTTTGGCCTCCCTTCCTCTGGCTTTATTGTCACTGATTTTTGAGTTCAACAAAATACGGCATTTGACAAATGCCAGTCAGGCCTTTTGCATTTGTCTTTCCTGGGAATACAACTCTTGTCAGTGAAGACCTTTTTCAGCTCTAGAAGAATTATTACAGACTGAATTGTCCACTTTTGAAAGTTTTTAATGTTTACCTTGTCTGTAAGTATTACCACTCTTCTTTTTGAGCATTTAATTCCACAGTTGCTACATCATGTGAAGCACCACCACCAAGGAGAAAGGGGAGTTTCTGCTTTTTTATGCAGTGTACATAGTGTTTGGCAGTTTCTCATATGCGAACATAGAGATTTGAACTCGGGATTGCAAAGTCTAATACCTTGAAGAAGGGTCTTTAGTGTTTAGAATTGACTGTGCAATGTACTAATAGTACAATCCTTTTTTTCTTACTGTTATCAGCTGACCATAAATGAAATAGGTAGCTAATTCACCACACTGAAAAAGGAGATAGATCTTTGCTTTGCTTAGCATCCCTAAAGGCTTAGCCAAAGGCAACTATTGATTATGCATGTATTTATCATATTTTGTGAGTAACCTGGTCATTCTACATTTCTTATTAAGATACAAAGGTCCAGCAAAAAGGGCTTTCCAGTCTCAAAAGAGTTTTTCTCCTATAATTTTTTTTGTTATGACTGACAGATACTTACTCCAGAACGTCCTTGGAAGCCATATTCAGATAACGAGGAGATACCCACTGAATTTCAAACCAGTCTCTAAAGCCATTGTTTCCACAGCAACGGAATCCAATTTGTAGCAAATCCACTGTTTTCTTTAAGAAACATCGCCCAGGTATGTCTGTGTCTTTATAGAACTTAATGGCATCCCTCAGTCCCAGATAGAGAGACTCTTCCAGCTCGTTCCTCATGGTGTAGCACATGAGAGCACCCACCAGGATGCAGAAGGTAAAACAGAAGGTGCATACGATGTATGGCAGCATTACTAGCTTCCACCGAGAGAACTTGTTTGCATCTGAGCAATCATAGCAGATTTTGCCACCCAGGAAGTTGATGATACATGCTATGACCCCTACAGAGATCAGCATGTTGGGGACAGAGTTAATGTCCCCTTTTGCCATCACTTCACTACGCTTCTTGATCTCTATTTTCAGAAAGAGGCCAAGGCTGAAGAGAATGATCCCACTCACTACAGAAACCCAGTTGAGGATCCATAAGATCTGAGCCAACTTGTCCCTCTTGGTTTTGGTGAATTTGACTTTGAGGACAGCCATAGTCAGACGCGCATTAGGAAAAGCAGCGTGGGTCAAGGGAAGCTCGTAAGCTGATTAGGAGCATGGATCCAAGGCGTGCAGCAGAAAGCTGAAGAAGAGGGAGAGAGATTACTGTCTGTTTGACCAGGTATTTATAGAGCCTACAAAAGAACTTCCTGTGCAGCCTCACGCACTCTGAGTCCTGCCAAAGGAGTGCCCCAGTGAAATTTATTGCTTAAATTTCATAACAATGTAAATCACTTAAAAAAAATTATTCTAAGGACCAACTAGAGCAATTAAAAATAGGTGAATTGTATGATGAGAGACTGGATTCCTATGAATTTTTGTCAAGACAAATTTTCTGTGCAGACCTGATATCTAAAAGTGAACTGGTCTGCTCTCTTCCCATTCAGAAGACTCCCAGTGTCTTTCTCTTCTACTTGTTTGTATTTTTTAAAAACAATTATAGCTATTTATTATTTTTAGGTTCCTGTGTTATGGTCAGGTGTGTGTTCAAAAGTTGAATAAACAAGACAAAAACCATATATACATTTTTTTTTCTTCCCCTCTCTAGAAAACTTGTCTTTTTCCTAATTTGGCAACTCTCATTGGAGTGATTTTATACTATAAAACTCTGCATTATAATTATACAGTAATTTAATTCCACTAATACAATGGCATTTATAAACAATAAAGAGTAATCCTTTAAATCTGGGGAAATAGAGATGTATAAGCAGCATAATATTTTCTAAGTTATTGGATGCTATTACTGAATAAAACAGCATGAAAAACACCTGCAGACAGACAAGCTGGATAGAAGTAAGGCTACACTGACCCGGTAAATGATCCCCAGCTGCAGTGAAGCTTAGCATTGGGTAAGCAGATTGTTGCAGAGTGGAGTTTAAAAAGGTAATGGAATCCCAGCGTCTTCATGTGTTTACATCGTAAGGAATCAGTTCTATTTGTACAGGCAAGGAAGGGGTTTTGTGATTCATATTAGGATAAAGTTAAATACCTTCATACATTAAGATTTTAAGGCCTGTGAGATGTAATTAATTCAAGTTGCATTTATTTTCTCCTGCATTTACAGAGAAAACTAATTCCCCTCAAAGCTATTCAGCTCTGTGGTTTTTTTGTACAATGCACAGAATAGTGTGCAAAATGCATAATATTTTCCCTTACTAGTCTATTTCCAAAGGTGTTTAGGCCAGCTACTTTCTGAGTTTAAAAACAATTGTTTAAAAACAAATTAATTAACTTTAATTGTTAAGGCTGATTATCAGTTATGGCTGAATATGGATTATGATCATATTGTGATAATCATATAAATGATAGACAGATTACAGAGATGTCCAGAGAATAGTAATTTATAAAACCACAACACTTGCTTCACGCCATTCTTCTCCAGTATTGTTCAGACCTCATTTGAAGGGATCATGCTCTGCTGGTGCAGAATTAAGCCTCTCTACAAATTCAGCTGACAGCCTGAATAAGCCTGCTAATCCTGGAGACTATCTTTGATTGCTTCACCAGTTAAAGCAGTTCGTGACTTGACCTTAAATACTTGTTAATGATGGCTGCTGATAGATTTATTTGCCCCTCATACTCGGTCCTCAGAGCTCACAGAGAGAATCTGTTGTGAAATCTACTGATTGCTGCTACACAGTTCACGTTCAGTGGCCATCACATATGAATGCATCATTCACTGTTAGTTTCTGTGAAACACACACACATATTTCAACACTGCCTCAAAATTGTTCAGCACGTTTTATTACGTTGTCACTGAAAACACCCTATTTGCTAAACATGTTTTGATTTAACATTTGGACAATAGTTTACTCTGCTTAAAATTCATCAATTCCAGAAGCATTGTTGATAGTGGAAGATGTAGGTTTGAGACTTTGCCATATTCTAGCCATAAAGAAATTTGGAGTTCCGTAAGAAGGGATTCAATCTCATGCAGCTATTTTGATATAGCTCCATCCCCAATTTTCAGATGCCTGAAGTTAAAAACGGTGAAAAATTTCTGTGCAAGAAAAATTCTAATAGCAATTCCTTGTCTCCAGAAATTCTCATGAGGTATTCTTAGCTCCGTTTGTGAATTTTTGTGGATTTCACGGAATATTGACATTTATCTAACAGCACTACCCATACCAGCAGCATAAGATCTGTGATTTCATGGAATCCTAGTGCCAGAGGAAAGGGATGGAATGATTAGTTGTTGTAGTTCAAAGACCAGTTGTTGACTGACCCTGGTTGTCACTCATATGCTTGGGATTGATCTTTGGGAGACACTGTGCTTCTCATGAAACCTTAAGTGCATTGAGTCTGGGACAGAAGAGCAAGTTACCTGTTCTGTTCCTTGTTCCTAACCTTCTACATGGATACTTATGTTAAGATTTTCACCTATGCTAACAGTTTACTGAATTTATTTCAGATAATAAGACTCTCTTCATATCATAATTAATTTTGTAGATGCATCATAACATTATTCTTTCCCTAGCTGTTTAATAAAGTATTGAATACATTTATTAGCATAAGATCTATTGCAACACACACACACAGCTGCACAGTATAATTTTTTGAGCACAATGAGGTAAGTCTTTCCAGCTGAAAGAACTGAACTGCAGTTAGTCTTGCTCTGCACTATCTGTCTGTTCTTCTACAAGTCATATTTGGCAGCAGGTTACTGTAAAGCCACAAATGCTCCCAGCATTTCAATGGAACTAATGCCTCTGTCATAGTTCTTAGAAACCTTTGCACTCCAGAGCTATGATTCATATACATACAGACATATTTTCCTCAGCTAGGGGAGAGCAAACTGGATTTTATTCTATAAAGGGAGAAATACTTCTTTCCACAAAAGAAGACAAATTAATGTGGAAATCTCTCCCATACTATCAATACTGTTGATTTCCTTGTCTAATTGAAATTTATCTCACTTTAAACACAACTTACAATTTGCTTCCAAGATGTCACCTAGCTGTTTCTTTGCTATCAAGTTCCCCTAGCTATATTGCACAAGACATAGCACAGCTATTTATTTTTAATATTTACTTATTAGATACAATTTGTTTAGAGAAATTTTCCAATTTTGCTGTAAACAAACCACATCTTCTCTTACTGATTTTGCTAAAATCTGCTATTTTAGCTAAACATACATTTCTATTTGTGACATTAAAAAAAAGCTACTAACCTGGTTCAGAGGACTGAACACGATCTTGAAACTGGTAACTTGCTGAATACAAGGGAGAAAATACCTGAACTGGACATCCTGAGGATGACTGAAGTACTGATTTCCTGATGTCTGTGTAGTTGCTCTGTCTTCACACGGACTCACCAATGGAGATGGAGAAAACCACTTCTACTCTCCTGCCTGTGCTAATCTCTCCTTCATCTCTAATCGTAGCTAAGAGATTTATTTCGAGGTTCTTATGCCACCAGATGAAATCCTGCAAAACAGGCCAATTGCCTGAGTGTGAACTGATATCTCACCAACAAAATGGTTTCTAGGACTTCTACCTTCTTACCTTGCTGGAAATTTGGGCTAATAAGCAACAGAACTGTTTTTCAGTACCTGCTAATGTCTTCAATAGTTCTTAATTTGTTCTTAACAATAAATATGCCTCCAAAGGAGAGATGAATGAGAATAATGAAACTTTGTGATTCTGTGGGAAGGAAAAATCTCTCTTAGGCAACTATCATTTATATCCACTATTATGTTCCTTACCCATCATTGTTGCTTTGGATGCAATTTTCTGTTCTCTGTGTATTGAATGTGATTGTCCAAGAAAAGAATTCAAGTAACCAAGAGAAATTGAATAATCCTGTATGATTCACTGTAGGTTATGGTTTGGGAAGCTTTGCAGGTTCAAGAACAATCTAGTAGAAACCTCTGTCCTAGTCTCTTATCTAGCTCTATTCCAAGCCAGAAGCAAAAGCTAAAGTGTTGTGTCCTCTGTAATTTTTGAGCCCAGCACGTAGCAATTTGTGGGACAGACTGGCTGGTTTGGACTGGCAACAGTGGTGGCAACAAGCTGAGTCTGCAGCAGTGTTGGTCAGGTTAGAGGTGATGTCAGTACAAGAACAGAATCCCTAAGCACAGGACCAGGCTTGAGCTCTAGGGTCCATATCTATAATACCTCAGCATGGCAGGGAGAGTTCAGTGGGCACTGACTGACTGCAAGAGACCCTGCACCAGGCATTGTAAATGTGTAGAAATTTTCTCAGAAGCATAAGCTGTCCTCTCCCAGCTTATGATAAGCAATAAACCAGTACCCTGATGTGATTCTAACTCTGTGTTCTGGCAGTACACTGGCTCTATCTCGCCCCTGTCCTAATGATTCAAAGCATATGTGATACATGTGGGACCTGTTGGACCTGCTGCATATGGACCACACAAATGCTTGCATATAATCAAATACATCCCAGCTGCATTGAATTAATCCTGTGCACGAGTCAGTCCTGCTTTGGACTTGAAGCACTCGTGCAGACCACAGGGAATATTTTAGATCTGTTCAAATCTATTGGTTTGTATACAGATCAACTCTATGGAAGCATATTCAGCAGGTATAATGTATTCCTTGGATACAGCACAAGCACACAAATATACACATTTTGAACTATTGTTTGGCTGGGATGTGATACATAAGAAATCCTGGACAAATGGCTAAAGTATTTTTCTATGCTTAAAAAAAGTTCACTTGTGAAAACTCTCTCCATCTCCATAACTCCAAATGTGTTTCCCCTGAGTATTAGAAAGTGTTACTGCCTCAGTTACCTAGTAGCAGAAAACTGAACCTTCCCTGTGGCTGCTTTGCAATACAAACCTCGTACTCACATGCATGGAAGCAAGCGAGCAGGAGATGGCAGTGCTGCTGTATAAAGTATGAAGGCTTCTACTACAACACAGAGCAAGGAGCTTTTTTTTTTTTTTAATTTGTTAGAGAGATTAGAGGTCATTCACACAGCTAGTGGAAGCTCAAGAATGCCCTATTGTAAGAAATTACTTAAATCAAATTGTAATGCAGTTAGAGGCCAGTGCTACCTGTATTTTTTATTCCATCTCATTTGGAAATTACTTCAGCTGCAAGTGTAGTATCAAAAGTTGAATTATTCAGAAATTAGTTCTGTGTTATTGGCAGTTTATAATGAACCATGATGCACTTTCTTGCAGACCTTTGGGAAGCCTGGACATCACAACCACGAAGTAGCATTTTGTAACTTTCAGGAGTAGTTGTACAGAGGGAATTGCATCTATCACCCAGCAGTATAGAAAGAGATCAAACACTTTCCTGCTAACAGTGGAGATTGCTGTGATATGGCTTAGGATCCAAAACAGGTAAGTTTAACAAATGTTTGCCCAACTACTTAGCCTATTTAATACCATTCATATATAAGCCCACAGGCAAGGACAGATGTGTTATGAATCAGTGTAATGAAATAACTAGTTGGGAAGATGCAACGTTTAATTTTACATCTAGTTTCCGAAATCTAATATTTTATTTTTTATATTTGCATGACTTTTCAGTTCATTTTGTATTTAATGTAAATGACAACTAATGATACGAGATTTTGGAGTACTGGATGAAAAGTAGAGGCACTTGGTGAGACTGATGGAAACAAGAACTATACAACCTTTCCTTCTGAGCTGGGGCAAGGCCATATTCAGGAAGAGATTCTCACTCATGTGATAATGGGGAGAGGACATGAGCAACCATCTGCTTTTTTTGGCTTTTGTAAAGTTGTGAACCACACAACAAGTGTGGTAGACACTTAGAGAATTAAGTTATTAAGCAAATAGAAGTAACTGAGTCTTTGGAGAGCCTTCATTTCTCAATTACATTTTTGAAATTTTAGGAAGGAAGTGTAGTGGTATTTAGATGATTATGGTTGTTGTAGTAGATACAGGTACCCACGTTAAGTCACAACATCTGAAATTCTTATGGAATTGCAGAGTTGGCAGAGGGAATGTCAACATTTAAAGGCAAGAAGTAATGGCAATAGTCAATTATTTAAAAGGACTCAGTTTGTACATTAAAATGACACAAGGCTTATTGAAAATTAAGTCAGTTTTATTTTTTTACAACTACAGCTCTACACTGTACTACAGTTGTACCAGCAGATCCATTGTACTATGTTCCATGGAAAATGTGAATGCTATAACTGTAGCTCATCTAATTGCCTGAAGAGCACCACAGATGAAACAAAATCAGAAAAAGAAGTACTACATTTTTCAGATGTGTAAAGATTATTATATGACAATATGGATGCTGAAATCAGTCTCAGGCAGAAAATGAATTTACAGCAGGCCTGTATGAACTGCACTGCCTGTGTACGGCTTGTCATTAGGGGTCCTGTGCATTGCAGGAAAATCCATATCAGTACCTGTCAGGCTGGCTCTGATTTCAATCCATAGGAGCTGTACTGTCCACAGTCTCTGAGTCATCCACTCATGACTCACGGTGAGTCATTACAAATGGAAAACTAAGGCACAGAAATAGTATATTCACCTTAAAATCAGACCAGCAGTCTATAGTACAACTGAAAGTGAACATGTGTTTTAAACTGCCTGGTAACCCTAGAATTTCCATCTTGACTGTAACTTCTTCCTGAAGACTAGAATCCATTTTAACAACATTAATCATAATTAGACCATGCAATAATTTTGCTTTTCACTTTTGTACCTTATTCACTATGGATCTTATCCTCACAAGTATCAGGAAGCTTTTTGCAGAATGGAGTTATACACATATTATGAGGCCTGGCAGCATAATGAGGTTAAATTTTCCTTTTTAAATTCCATATCTCATAGCATCAATACTTTGGTGCACTATACTGCTAACTGACCCTTTTTCTCCTAGCAAAGTACTCAGACATAGACTGTCACTTTTCTCCTCAAAAGACCTTCTAAATTAATCAGTACCTATTCTCAGCTTACTATAAACCTGATGTTGATACTATTTTTCACACTCCAGACATAATTTGAACTGAACAATATTACTCAGGACATATTGTAGGGAATTTGAGATTCTTTTGGAAAGAAGAGACAGTTATCAAGAGGAAAAAAAAATAAAAGAGAGGCTCACAGGTGTTTCTGAAGCTGTCAAATACACAGAAGCCAGAAGCCAGACACAGTGCTCTTAGAGATTTTTAGAGCTTTTCCAAGATCCCTCTGTCCCCTGAATGGTGACTTCATGCTAATTGGCACTGTCGAGAAATCACAATATGTGGAAAAAAACTGAAGGAACTCAGGTGCCTTACTGCTTAATGTAGAGAAGACTGATGGTAAGAGATTAAAATAGTGTTAGAATAATTTTATAGGTAGTTGCACAAAGGAATAAATTCCTTTGGGGATAAGATATGAGGAGAATAATGGGTGAAATAATTTTTAGTGAGAATAGTGAAACAGCCCATAAGAAACTCCTTGATTTCCTTAAACAAAGTACTTTTGGAACAGATTGACAAACACTGGCCAGGAGTGTTGTAGGGACAGTTGGAAAAACGACTGAATTAAATGTCTCAAGGTCTGTGATTTGTCATTTGCTATTAACCAGATATCTGTTTAAACATCTACAAAACTTGGTAAGAGCTTTCTCATCTCTGACCAATTCTTCCTTTGCTCCTTGACTTTTGTCAGAAATGTGAGCTTATAAAATGTTTTTACCTTTCTATTAATTGAAAGCATTGTTTCCACCTCCATGTATATGTTTATTTTAGTTAAAATTTTAAACAACTTTTCAATTCTAGGAGTTGGTATATGTTAACTTATTGACTTACCAAACGTGTGAATTTTCCATCTCTAAAGTCTTGTCATCCTGCTATCTATCTCATCCTTTTATTTTTTCTTTCTTTCTTTCTCTCTCTCCTTTTTCCTGACATCTGACTTTCCAAACATTTTTCTGGAGCTTTGTCTTCTGTAGTCAACTAAGCAGAAACATTATTCAGAACTTCTGACTCATACAGAAATAAATAAGTATCTCCAAGACCAAAGTCCAGCCAAGGAAGTTCCAATTGAAGTATTTGAAACCAATGAATCTGGACTTTGCAGGATGAGTCATCTACAGCCATATATGTTGATTTGAAGAAAAAACCAGCAGAGTTCAAAAGTTCTTGCACATTGTTGATCCTGTCACCCTTCTCCATCACAGACATATGAATATGTTTGTGTATAGGTGCAGGTTTAAATATTTAAGGATTCCTTGAAGAAAAATTAGATCATTCCTTTCAGACAAAAACTATTGATGAAAATTCTCACATCTCCCTTACTACAAAAAACGATTTCCAGGAAAGCAAACATATTTTTCCATTGCTATGCCTTATGAAGCCTAGGGAACCAGAAGTTGGAAGCATTAGAAAGTTGTGTTCCATCTATAGATATTCCTGGAAATTCTGATCTATTTCTTAAAAAAAAAGAAATTAGAAGTGGGTACTTATTAGATATGTGGGTATTTTCTCATTCTCTGTTATTTTTTAAATTAAAAAAATAATAACAGCTAAAGCTGTGTCTAGTTGTGCCCAGAAATAGTTTGCTGTCACTTGGTCTTTACTGGCTTGTTTCTATCCTTTTTTAAATTCAGACCAATTCTATTTATTGTCTCATTACATGATTTAATGTTTATTACATTTAATCTTAAATATTTATGCATAATATTTATAATTATTAAATATTAAAATATCCATATTAAGATGTAAGAATATCTTTACATGACTGGGGACTTTTTTTCATACAGTCAAACTTATTAGGAAATCATATTCATTGCTATGCACATACCAGCATTAAATTTTTTTGTTCATATATTTTCATAGTAACTATGTCGTTGTAATAAAGTTTGGTCTGTCAAGCCTTGGGGATTTGGAGTAATTTCTGTAATTAATCCTCCTGCTCTCTAACTTCAGAGTTTTGGTGTGCAGTACTTTCCTTCTTGCAGTCTGCAGCCAAGTGAGACATTTAGGATTGAATTAAGACAACATACTGTGTTTTGATTTAACCCCAGGTAGCAGCTAAGTCCCAGCAGCTGCTTGCTCACTCCCCCACCCCTGCCCAGTGAGGAAAAAAGGGGATAGAAAAGGCAAACCTTGGGCTGAGATACAAACAATTTAATAATTGAAACAAAATATAAAAGATAATAACAATTAGACACTACTACTAATTGTAATGGAAAGGAGAGAGAAACAAAACCCAAGAGAAAAAAAGAGATACACAGTACAATTGTTCACCACCCACTGATGCCCAGCCTGGCCCCCAGCAGCCATTGACACTTCATGGCCAACTCCTTCCCCATTAATATACTGGGCATGATATTCTGTGGTCTGAAATGTCCCTTTGGACAGTTTGGGTCAGCTGTCTTTGCCATGTTCTCCTCCATTCTTGTGCACATCCTCACTGGCAGAGCACAGGAAGCTGAGACATCCTTGATTTAGAGTAAGAACAACTCAAACCCAACTAAAACATCAGCCTGTTGTCAACATTATTCTCATACTAAATCCAGCACAGTACCAGCTACTATACAGAAAATTCACTCTATCCCATCTGAAACCAGGGCAGTTTGCTTTACTGATTTATTTTGCACCACCTGAAATACTTAAAAATTTCCAGAAGAAACAGAGAGGTGTCCATTTGCTGACTAACAGCTGCAAAAAGAGACACATTTTTACATTGAGATAGCCAACTAGAACTAACGATGTCAGAGCTGAACAAAAGGCACAGGACAGGTTTTGGCTCAGGGTAATTTTTTCCAAGGGAAATCAACACAATGCATCTGAGCTTAACTACATGTACTATCAAAAAAAAAAAAAAAAAAAAAGAAACTGGAGTACCATTTTAATGTGCTAGTGGTTTTTTGGGTTTGGTTGTTTGGGTTTTTTTGGTATGTGGTAAAGATATTCTGCAAGTCTGCACTGACAGAGGAAATGCTGGTATCTGTTATACTTACCAACATCTCTGAACCTAAAATAGTAGAACAGAAAGCCTTGAAGAACCTCTTGGTGTATTTCTGGAGCAGTGAGTTAAAAAAGATTAGATCTCTTCTGTAAGGACTTCCTTCACATAAGTGGAAACAGATTTTCCTTTTGAAAAGACTCAGTTTTCGTTTATTTTTTTCTCTGCTTGACTTTTATTTGAACCATCCAGTTTTGTCTGCTTATGAAGAGCATATGGTAATTTGGAAACTTACAGCTCACTGTACTTCAACTGATGATGAAGGAAAGGCTATTTGGTCTTCTAAAGCTTTCAGTGTGCAAGAAGATGTACACCTGGTGTGATTCCTATGATAATGTGCATGTCAATTGTACTAGATAATGAATGAATTAACCTGTGAAGTTCCAAAGTGGTGAGAGAAACTATGCCCCTTGGATCTGAAATGATGAACAGGTAAACAGACAAACCAGATAAACAAGTTTGTTAAGGCCTTTTCATTCTCTTTAATTGAATCAGAAAATTCTCCTGAAGAATTGTACCCCTCAGGCAACATGTTAATTATTTGGGGAACAATAAAGCACTTTTCACAAATGGATTCATGTTCATGAGGACCTCATTACATCTAGCATGCAGCAAGTTTTGTTGGAAAAATATTACTTTGAATAAGTGGTGGTTAGGGTATTTATCTACCCTCAGTTATAATCTGGGAGGAAAAACACTGTCTACTTTAGAGTGAATGTGAAAAAATTATTTGTTTGGTGCATAAGAAGAGCTGCTTATCCTCAATAACTATCACCTTTGCAATGCCTTTAAGACAGATTTGAAGGAATATGTAGTTTCAGTCGAATATTTTTCATCTGAGAAATTGTAAGTGCCTTTTAAAGGTAAGCAAAATCCGTAACTCCTTTTTGTAACCCAGGAAAAGATGTACTATTGTGTATAAAAAAACCCAACTCTCTCCACCTATTTCCATTGACATTGATTCATTTCCATTCACAAAATGAACATTTCTTCACTCCATCAGCTTTCCTATTAACTGTTTCAACTGTTAGGACACATAATACACGTATGCATTCACTACACATAGACAAATGTATGCTTATCACCAGTGTTTATCCACACCACTATGACTGGTGGCCCCGCTGCTTGAGGCAATTCCCTTTGATATTGGAGAAGCATCTTCCTGAAACTGACACTGAGCAGCTCTCACCTGTTTGAGTTCACTGCTAGGTTTGGTTCACAGCTCCCACTTCTGGGTAACTCGCTTGTAAACTACCAGAGCTAAAATCTTCCTTTTCATAAAGTAGCAGGAGGAGATACTGTTTCCTAACCTCACTCTTTAACTATGATCTTGTGATGAATGAAGAAAGGGCTTAAATTATTCACACTACCTTCTCATCCAGCTGGCGGTAGGGAAATAGAGGCACCTTTTTTTTTTTTTTTTTTTCTTAAGGAAATTTCACGGGAGGGAAGCACTACGGTGTGTTTACTCGCTTCATACGAGCTGCTGTGATCACAGCAAATCTGTCCTCCCTCCTTCCCGCAGCACAGGCCTCTCCTAGGTGCTGGTGTGCCAGATGGATCCAGCCTCTGGGCTGACACTGGCCTACAAACGCGTCCTGCGGGCTGCTGTGCGGTGATGGCACCCACCGAGGAGTGCCCGCTCCATGGCCTCACGAGCTTCGAGAGTCCTGCCCGCAGTAAGGAGCCACCTGTGAGAGCGGGAAGCCTTCCCTTCGAAGGGCGTACTCACCTAGGCACGGGACACATCCACCGTTCCCTACTGTCACTGTGCGGAGCCCAGGGGGAACAGCCCTGCTCTGACCCGCAGGGGACGCAGGTCCTCGCGGTCACCCGCCACCCCCACCCCGGCCTCGCGTTCCTCAGCCCTCTCGCCCCACCCGCGGCCGGGCAGCGCCCTGCGCCCATCAGGCCCCGGGCAGCCCGCCTGGGTGCGGACAGCGCGGCCGAGCCCCGGCTGCTGAGGCGGAGGCGGGCACCGCAACGAAGATCCAGCTTCCCGCCGGCAGCGGCCCTGCGGCGGCGAGAGCTCAGGGCCAGGGCCAGCGCCAGCCCCCGCACGGACACTGCCCCTCGGAAGCTGGTCGGGAATGGGAACTCCGGCGCCCATCCCGCGGCTCGGCCCTGGGGCTGCGCGGGGGCGGCCGCGGCTGTACCGGCGCTCGCCGGCTCAACCAACCCCGCACTGCACAGCGCAGCGTCCAGGTGTGCCCGCCCCCGGGGCCCGGATTGACCGCGTTGAGAGCCAATCGTCCTTGAGGAATCGCCGCAGCTGCCCAATCACCGCTCCGGAAATGGGATGTGGGCGGTGCCCCGGGGGACAGCGGGCTCGGTGGCGCCGCGGCCGAGGAAGGGCGAGCGCGGAGGCGGCGGCGCGGGCGACCGCGGCCGGGCTCCGGCCGGCACTGCCGCAGGGATGGCGGCGGCCTCGGCGAGGGGCTCAACCCCCGTGGGGAGCGCTGCGAGCCGCCCCGTGACCCGCTGAGCGCCCTCCGCCTGCGCGCTGCCGTTACCCCTCCCCGCGGGCCGGCCCGGCTCTGCAGTCGCCATAGAGACCGCGCCGCACGCCATGGGGCGGAGGCTGGGCCGGGGGGCGCCGCTGTAGCCCCCGCCCCACGCCGCGCACACCATCCCCTGGGGGGCCGGGGGCGCCGCCGGGACTCGCTGTGCCGCCCGAGGAGCCGCCGCCTCGGCCGCGTTCCAGGTGAGGATTCGCGGTGCTGCGCCGCTGCCGCCGCCGTTACCCGCGCCCCGTCCCCGGGGGCGCTCCGGCCGCCTCGGCGGGGCGCGGCCCGCGGGCTCCGGCGGCCGCCGGCCCGGCCCCAGCGGCTGCTGCGTGGGAGCCGCGTCGCGGTTCCTGTCCCCGCGGGAGAGGGAGTTTGCTGGGAGCGGGAGCTTCAGGGGCCACGGCCCGCCCCGGGAAGGGCTTATTCCAGTGGGGCAGGATGGGGCGATCCCCTCCGTGGAGTTGAGGTCGGCAGGTCTGGCGGGCTCCAGCAGCAGTCACTGCTGCCCCGGCCTCTACGGAGAACTCAGATTTATAGGCACGAGATTTTTTTTTTTTTTTTTTTTTTTTTTTTTTTTTTTTTTTTTTTTGTCCCTCCCACTTGCTGCCAGAAAGCAAATGGTACAAAAATTTACGTGTTCTGTTTTAAAATAGCTGCGTCTATGTTTCCAGCTCTGGGTTGTGGCATGCGTGTGACGGCTGCTGTGTGGGCACGGCTGGATGGGAAGCGGGCTGTCTGTCGCCTGGCGCTCTGAGTGCTGGAGCCATTAGCGGCACTTGCATCGATCCGTGCATACAGATACGCCCGGCTAGGCCGCGGGTGCGCGCACCACGGCGCCGGCGAGCGCACAAACTGCGCGTGGAACGGCGTTAGAAATGCGTTATTGCACCTACTTTTAGCTTTGCCGAGAGCAAGTGGGAAAGCGCCGCGTTCCCAAGTCTACAGATGATCTCTGGAGCTGCAGCGGCATCCCTAGGCTCCTGTTGTCACTCTAGAGCAAAAGCAATGAGAGGACAAAGCTCGCGACGAGGTTTGTAACCTCTGGCGTGAGCCAGAGCAATTGGAAACAACTGCTGGTGTGAGTGGGGGTAGGAGTGCAAATAATGATAATATTGATGTATTATCGTGGGGGCGGAGGGAGATGGACACAAAGGAATGACCCCGGAGTATACCGCAGCCTTTTGAGAACCTTCTACCGTATTTATAATGAAGCTGGAAAGGGCTATAGAAAATGAGTTATAAAATAGCCCGTTGTGGCTTTCTTAGTTAGACTCTATGTGCAGAACCAGTGTAATTTCAGATTAAATGTTCTGAATTAGTAAACTGTATTGCCGGAATATTGAGAGCCTTAAAATAAATCATACTCTATTTATTCAAGTATCTTGTTAGCCTTAAACCGTGTGGTTAGTTTCCGTGTTGTGGTTCTGGAAAAAGTTAGTAGATTTTAAAAATGCGTTCTGTGTAGTTAATGCCATGCCTCTGTTGAACACATGCTAGCTATGCTTGTAGGTATTTTAGTTCATTTTAGGTGAGAAAACAAAAGCCTAGGACTTATTTTGCTGCTCTTGTTTGATTTTGGTAATGTTTTTTGAAGTCTTAATTATATGAATTCATGATACAAAGATGCCCAACATTTTTATTTTGTGTTGATATCGTCCTGAATACTTTCTCGATGATGATTAATTTGCTTTACAGAGCGAATTATGTTTAGCAAAGTAGTAGAACTTTCTTGACTTGTTAAACCAGAGGTATACTTGTTAACATTTGTTTGGCCTGTCAGTGAAATTATTTATAGGGAAGATTGCCTGCAATAGTACGAGTAGTCATTTGTCAAAAGTTATTTTGAAAACAGTGCATCAAGATACAGTTTAAAAAAATGTAAAGATGGAATCAATTATCCCTAAAAAATACTTTATTCTTCTCTAATATATTCCTGATGTACCATTATTTACTTGGAGCTCAGCATCTTTTTAAACTTCCTATTTGGGGAGGATGAGGTTAGAATGAGAAGAACAAATTGAGCGACTGGAATATCGTGACGTTGCTTATGTTTAGTGTAGTCGCTGTGCTGCTTCTGCATACTGCAGGCCCTGACACTTCGAACATCACAAACTCCAGAGAGGCTTTTCCCAATGTGGCTGATTTTATCAGGGAGATTTTTGAGTACGACAGAAGAGAGATGTGAGTGGGGTTTTTCCTTGTTCAAAACCGGCTTCTGAATGATCAGTTTCTACCAGTGCTAGATGTTTGTGTAGAGAAGGTTAAGCATTTGTTTAGTGTGTGAAGTTGCAGTGTATGGTATATTAATATACTACTGTGTTTTCTGTTTTTGTAAGGGCTTGTTTATCAAGTAGGAATGAATTGGTACTTTACAAAGGAGATTGACAGTTTTTGTGTATTCCTGTGTCTTGCCTGGTCTGTTTCTTTTTCTCTGGGGAAGCACTACACAAAGCCTTTGTGTTAGGCTGCAGGGGAGGAGAAACAGCTGCCTTTTCAGTACAAGACACCAGGACACAGGGATGTGTTGTGGTGCTTGGACCAGCCGCTATCCTTCCTCCCTCGTTCTGTGAAAACACTCTCACCTCAAGAAACCTGAGTGTCCTTTGACTCATCTCACAGAGCAGCGTGCTGTGCCATGGATCCAGCAGATCAGTCTGAAGGGACAATTGTTAAAGTATTGGAGGGCAAGAATTAAAAGATGCAAAATCGCCAAAATACGATGTTTATCTTAAGGAATTCAAGAACTACAGATCACGTGTGTTTAAAATTTTCTTGTTATGAACTTGACTTCTTGTTCAGGATTAGGGTGAAAGAAACTTTTGCTTGGCTTTTTTTTTTTCCTTTTTTTTTTCCTGCTTAAGAGTGTAGTATCTAGGGTACTTAAGTGGGAATTAAACATTTTAATTTTTAGAAGTGGAAATAAAACCATTTCAGTGGTATAAGTGAGTACAGCTAAATGGAGCAGTTTCATTTTTCTGCTTTCCATGCACAAGTAGAGTGCTTTAATGCTTGTACTGTATTCTTAGTCATGCAGTGGCAGAATAAAAGTTGACTTCACTCTTTATGTTAGAAATATTGAGTACTGTCTATGTGGATTTTAGTAAGTATATATTTTATATTCTTTCGTAATAACTTCTTTGAAAAATATCATCTTGTCTTTTACTTGTCCTTTGCACCTTTATTTATTTATTAAAATTTTAGAGTCAGAATACTCCCCTTTCTTGCTTCAGTGCTAGGTGTTTAGTAGTGTGCTTTTGGGGGAATCTAGTAACTTGGATTTTTTTTCAAGCTGCTTATGAAATTGAGGTGCCATTCTTAGCCATGTGACTTTATAGTCTATATTTCTCTGTATGAGCTTATATGTCACTAGTCTTGAAACCTAAGTAGTAGAAAATTCAAGCAATAAAATCTGGCCTTCTGACACTTCACCTCTCAATCTGGTTGAAAATTCTTTTCCCATTTTTGAGGTGTTGTATAAGTTATAACTTTTGATCAGTTATTTTTCAATTAATGGAGATTAATCTTGGAAAACTTGAGAAGGTTTTTTTGGGGAGAAGGGAAAGATTTAATTTGAGAGGAGTGAGGAAAGGAGGGCAAATTGAGAAACTGAAGAAGTCTTGAGTATTTTTAACAAAAGTATTTTGTTAAAAATTTAAAAATATTTTCATTGCTGCGTTCAGGCATGTTTTTCTGTGGCTCTTGTCCTGTGTTTTTGAGAACTTTTCATCACAGAATTGCGTCACTCAAATGTTATTTCATGCTGTTGCTTTTTGTCTGAAGAGATTAATCAGGTATTGAGAATTGCACTGATGAGGAACTCTATCCACTAATTCTTCCTTTTCGAGCAATGTATGTATGTAGCTTAGGCTTGCATTTCAGGGTGAGTAGTACTTGGAAGAGTTCTTTCATGGATGAAGTTTGCCAGATCACTGATGGTATTGATGAGGAGAGTAATTTTCTTTCCAGTACTGAGCTGTCTGGTGTATAAGGGAAGAGTAAACCATGCTGAATTTACTCTGAGAGCTTGTAGAAGATGTCAAGTCTCTTGAATATGTAGCCATATATTTCTATCTGGGTGTTGCAAAAGGATTTGCTACTTGTTGCAGAGACAGGTTACTATGTGGGGCTCACATGTGGAAGAAGGTAAAGAAACAGGTTTTGTGTCATTGGGGCCTGTTTGTATAGAAATAATTTTATTATGTTTTTGATACACTGCTCTCACCGCTGAAGTGATACAAAATGTGTTCCACTAGACTCATCGGCAACTAGGAGAGACCTTGCCTTTCAGAGCTTGTGTCTTTTTAGTAGTTGGGAATTGTCTTCTGTCAACAGCTGCTTATTGATTCTGAGAGGGGTTTCCTTCTGCTCTGTCACTTCCCAGATAATTCTCAGATAGTGTTTGCTGCTTCTGTCACGCTCTGTCTCAGGGTACTAACGTTCTGTGAGGTTTTAACAACACTTATTTGATACAATGTTGTTCAACATAGTAAGAATTAGATTGCTTGGTTACGTGGTGTATCAGCAGGATATGTCTTGTCGCTGTCAAGTTTACTTGTTGCCATAGTAATGCTTCAAGTGCCACTCGTAGCAAGCAGTGTGACTTGTGAGCGTGTATGACTCTAGCTTTGCAGTGTTAAGAACTAAAAAAAAGGGAGGCAGTGATCTGTAAATAGGATATATTTTTCAGCATCAAACTGGTGTCTTTTAAGAATGTATTTGTATTCTTGAGTTACATGCTGCCTTGAAATAATTATTTTCTTGTCTTTCAATTTACCAGCATCTTGAGCTTAAAATAGATCTAGAATGGGCATTATCAACTGATAGAAAATTTATCAGACAAAGAATGACTGTGCTATTCCTTGAGTTTGATTGAATTGAATGGCCTGTTCATATGTGATGCTTTGATTTTTCATCTGCAGTAGTCTATAAATAAAATCAAAGTATAATACCCTAAGTCAAGTCAGCCTGGAACAAACTGTCATGTTTTACTCTGAGAGCTGAAGGAAAGGAGATGACATTGGATCACTGTTCTTTTTGTATGTGACGTTTTGTGCTTTTTCATTAAGACCTAGAGATTATTGTGATAATCATGATGTTTTGGGTGAAATTACAGTTTTGAGCAAGGCAGTGTATCCAGTGAGGAAACCTGTTGAATGATTCATCTGGTTAGAGAAAAATCTTGAAAGAATCACAGAATAGATTAGTATGAAAAAAGGATTGACTGGTCTTGTGGGAGCAACGTGCTACCTAACCCGGTCAGGTCTTGTCTTCACCAGCCAAGAACTAAAAAATTGATGCTGAAGCTGAGGAGCAAACCATGACCCTCCCACAGTAAAGGAGAAGTGTGCAGAAAGGAAGCTCTGTTATTGACTATCTGCTGATAGTTGTTATTTATTTATGGATGTACATAGATATAAGAATATTTTTCACCTGTTAGCTCCTGCAGATGAAATTGCACATTATTGTTAAACCAGTCTAACAGTTGGCTGCTGGTTTTAAGTGGAAAATGATGTTCTGTGCCTGAGCCTTTTCTAGTGCCCATTGATCTCTGAGCTACACTGAGTCAATTCACTAACTTGGCAGAGAATAATTGTATAAAGGGAGTTGTTTGTATTTTTTTTTTGGCTGTTATATGTTTGTAACTCTTGCTGGGTCATGCTGTTATGTGCAACTTCACCCTGAACACATAGCTGAGATAGTCATAACCGGATCCTTCATTTACTGTAGCCCGTGTGCTTAGCTGACAGGTTTTCCTGCCTGTTGTCAGTTCAGGGAGGACACAAGAGAAAGAGGAACATTTTGTGTCAAAGGCTGCTTTGAGGCGATGGTGCACTTTCTTTGTTAATTTGAAGGCAATTTGGGCATGATGCTAATTTCAGGCTGGACATTTCCTCCTGTTGTTCTGATAGATTTCATTAATTTTGAGCCTAGGATACCTCAGTCACGTGGCAGTGCTTCTGTATGTATCTTTCCTTGATCAGTCAATTTTCCCCTTGTAATCAGGGAGCAGCTGTACTTCGTCTGGATTGT